AACAAATCCTGCAGCTGTTGCATTGATGGGGAAGCAGACGCTGTAGGCTCGGTGCCAGAACCAAACAGTGACTGAACAGGAATACAAACAGTTTTCTGCAATATATTTCAGCGGGGCGTGATTTCGTTTCAGAAGCTCAAGAAAATGAAGCTGTTTCTTTCTCCCATTTCTGTATTACATCTGAGAAAATTAAAGCACACAATACACCATACACACACACACAGAAATATTTTAATGACTCCACACATTCAATGTATAAATTATTCAAATAATTGACCCTTTTCTGAACACCTTTTCTGGCATTTGGAGTTATTAAAGCTCTGTGTGTGTGAATTGATTTGAAATAACTGATTTGAATGTTGACAGCCAGTGAATACAAATTAATTAGAAAAGACTTAAAGCATGAGGGAAGGAGCCATGTAAGATGCATTTAATACTCATGTCACTGAACATTTGTTTTAAAAGCATTCAGCTGCCATCTGGCACATTGAGTTCTCTTTCCTGGTGCATTCAAGTTCTTCTTGACTTGATCAAAACATCTTTTACATTTCAGCTATCACAAAGCACCTGGGCATAAAATATCTCTTCTTCTTTTAATTCTGTGGCTGTCAGTTTTTAAATAACATTATTTTACAGTAACTGAGCTGAGTGATGGACTTGTAGGTGTTGGGTTTCTTCAGCAGCAAAGTGGTGGTCCTTTCATAATTGCTTTTGGAGGTAAAAATTATTCTGTGGTCTACATTGCAGCTACATTTTGACTTCAGGCAGCAAACAAGCACAAGCCATGTTGGGACTCGAAAAGGCCAGACTGAGCTTGTAAAGGTCAGAACACTTGTCTGGTCAGTGGTCTCATTTCGTCTTGTATTGTGCACAGAATTGGGACAGCTGAAGTGTTCCACTTAAATGAACAATGAGTGTGAGAATGAACAATACGGTAGCGACTTTGTCAACCTTGGCATTGTGTGAAAATAATTAGCACTTCATACAGACCTTTTCTAACCTACGAAAATCAGAAGGGAAAAGAATCAAACATTTCCAAACTAACAAACCCTCATCCACAGTGGGATAAACAAAACAATGTTAAGGGCCCACAAAATCATCTTAAGGTTACGTGTAGAAGACAATGTTCGAGGCTCGGATTTAATTGTTGAAATGTTTCTCAGGTACATCTTTTATCAGGTCTGTAGATATTTAAAAGCTTAACCTTGATTTTTATTTATTAATTCATTGAAATGATCTGAAGTGAGAATCTAATTAATTTCATGAACACTGCAAAGCAGTTTGTTTGATCCCATGTGCCCTACAAAGTCAAAGAGCAGCAATCGACTTCACAGTTCATTTATTTATTTATTGTTTTTGTAAAGCAAAAGGAGAATATTTAATTTAAGAGTATAACTCTTTGTAACTTGTACTGTCCTACAGTCATGTTTGGAGCATGCTGAGCAGATAAAGACGTGGATCATGCTGCTTGAGTGGTTCAAGTAGATTTTTATGTCTTGGAATCTGTTGTAACGACCACAAATCTAAGCTGACAGCATCTCTGACAGCATGCTAGAGTCTTCTGTTCTTCTGTGGAAGCCATTGAGATGATAGATGGGGAAAACGACCCCCATCCATGACTTGACATACATCAAGCGTCCACTAGAGGGCGCTGTATGGCTTTACTGTACACAAGAAGGAACACCATGGCCATACACTGTAGCTAACACGAACACACATTCAGTTACTGTGGATGCTCTTTGTGAAAATATACCTGTGTGGGCGGAGAACACACCTGATAAGTGTCATAATAAGCATTATATTATATTTAATCCTTTCACTGATGAGAAATATGTCTGATCTCTCTGAATTAAATTACAAGTGAACTGGAGTTTGGCCTTTCACCACTTTCCTTCTAAATTGCAAGATTAAACCCAAATCTTTGCCAAATGAGAAAACACAAATTGTACTTTTCATTGAAACATTCAGTGCATATTTTATCATCCTTTCTCGGTTTTTCAAGTGCCTCTGAGGGAGGCACATGAAAGTGCCTCTGAAGTCAAAGAACACTTTTATGTTGAAAATCGTTTTGATTCATTACAGCGCAGGAAATTTTCACTTTAATGCTCCTGGGGACAGACCTGGCAGGTTGATAGCTGGCTACCACCTTCTTATTTCTGGATAAGTTTGGATCAATCTAACATGAATATTACTGGAATGGATTAATGTATTTTATTATTTAGTCAGTTAATGCACTACAACATTTACAATAAGAGCAGCAGAACATGTGCCACAGACCATCTCACTATGTCTATGAAATGAAATGAAATCCCAGAAAACAGTAGCAGTGGAAGGAAGGAGTGGTGAGTGAACAAGATGACACCACTGCCACCTAGTGTTGAAACATTGAATGCATCCTAGTAGTGATTTACTGCATGCAGTAACAAAGAAGTCAATGATGTTTCCACCCTACTGAAGGGTGTTGGTTAAAATGATTGATTATTTGTGACCTGGTTATCCTGTCCAGCTGGAGACTATCCCAGGATGCACTGAGCATAAGGGTGGGTGCACCCTGGTCTATCACAGGGGTAACAGACGGAAAGGCAAACACTTTGACACCTACATGCAATTTAGGCTTACCAGGTCTCAGTCGGCCTTGTTGAGTTCAAGACTAAACAACAGTCAGCTAGCATGCTGCCAACTCCACTAGAGGTGGAAGTTACCAATCACATTCAATTAAAAGATTTGTTAGTACTGAACTGTGTAGTTTGTCTAATCGAGCTGCCTTTATATCAGACAACATAAGCCTAGTTCGTTTGAAGCACACTAAGGCCTTAAAGCTGCAGTAGGCAACTTTTATAAAAATTACTTTTAGTCATATTTGCTCAAACGTTCACTATATTCTACAGTGAAGTACATGTGACAGATCTGTCTCTGGCTTGTCCTTGTGCACCTAATAACATTTTTATAAAATTAAAGAAATGTGAACTACTGCAGCTTTAAGCCTACGTAAGCATTGCTTATAGGGTTTTTTTGCAACCACCTATCTGCTACAGTGTTATCCTATTATGATTGTTCCTGTGACTCTCAGTAGACTTTCAACCTTGAAGTTAAATGCTGCATCAAAGCTGAGCTGACAATACAAAGTGAAAAAACTACTGATTCTGTCAGTAACAATGATGATTCAGTAAACTCGGTTCAGTTGAGGGCGCAGTTGGTTTTGTTTGTACATGTACTGAGCACCTCTAAACTCTACGCTTCAATGCATTTCCTTCAGCACATAAGTGGTCCAAATTGGAAATCATGTACCTGGGACCGCTGGGACAAAAAATATTATTCCAGTCATCTTGTCACGTGTCTCACCATTTTTTTGTTTTTTCACTACAAATCCTCTTGCTAATGTAGTTGTCATGTTTTGTTGTTTTTTTTAGTTTTGTCTGTGTGCTCGTCTCCTTTTGTGTCTCTATTTAATGACTTACAGACAGTAACATGAAGCTTAAAAGTCCAAACAAAAGAAACAGAGATTTTATTCCTTTTTTCTTTTTTTTTTTAATTCTTTGAAGTCCTCGTTGTTGATTTTTTTTTTTTTTTTACATCACCATCTATGGGATTGACACTTTTCCATAGTGAGCAAGCATCCCAGAAACCCCACTGCCACCAAGACAAATACCATCACACAGTTTCACTTTCACAAAGGGGAAAGGCTTACAGAGGGGGACGAAAGGGTTCAGGGGCAAGAAAGTGTTCAACAGCATCAACAATCTCAGAACGGGAAGGAAGCTCCTCTCAGTCTGCACCACGTTGCGTACATACATATCACTCATATATCATTAGCATAATATGGCATAGAAAAGCATCCAAGCTGACAGAGCATTAAAGGAGTATAGGTGTGTGTTTTAGTGTGTGTCAATCGAGGAGGCATGGGACACGGCGGGGGTGTCAGCGTTTGCAGCTGGTTTTTAATGTCCAAGTAAATTCTTCAAGCATGGGTGCTGCATCACGGCAACGGCTGTTTGGTGTGTGTGTGTGAGAGAGAGAGAAAGAGAGAAAGTGTGTGTTTCTACTATAGTCTGCAGTGTGCTTTCAACTCTAATAGATTCTTTTTAAGCAGCAAAGGATTCTGGATTCCACGCAACTCAGCACAGGATTATGTAGAAATGGTGAAGCACTGTCACAGAATAATTATAAAAACGTGTGTGTGTGTGTGTGTGTGTGTTGTGTGTGTGTTGGTGTGTTGTGTTGTCGTGTGTGTGTGTGTGTGTGTGTGTGTGTGTGTGTGTGTAGGTGGTGCGTGTGTGTGTGTGTGCAGGCGCAAAGCTGTACTAATAGCACCAGGTCAGGATGGGTTGCCAATGGCAACCTCCAATCTGACAAGCGTTGCCATGACAAACAAAAAGCAGAAACCCGTGTGAGTGGAGGGGTCTGTCGCCACGGCAACAGCCAGAAACAACGAAAGAGCCAGGGAGGGAGAATGAAATGAAGGGGAGAATGAAAAGAGGAGAAATACAGACAGAGACTAACAGAAAGCAAGGAGTGACATGGAAAATACAAAAATACAAGAAGCACACTATTACTCTCACGAGAGCCAAACTGTAGGACTTTACCTCCCATATCTTCACCCACAATCCCTTAGCGTAGTAGTGTAGTAATGAGTAATATAGTGTAGTGTGTCTATAAGAAGAGAGTGGACCTCAAATACAAATATCAATACAATGTTAATTAGTCAGAGGGGGTAAAATTCCACACTCCTGACTTACAAAAACTTTGTTGTGTGATGTGTAGGTTGCCGTGGAGATCGAATTTCCATTTCCCATTCCTATCTTGTTTCATCTTTGAATGCTTCAGGGACATGCATTTGCTACATCCCCCCTGCTTTGGATTCTTTAAATACATACACCATTCGTAACGCTGACAGACTTTGCCTTCTATAGGCTACCAGTCAGATATAAGGAACTGGGGTTGAAAGCACAAACACAGAGGTGGTGTAAGTGTGTTTATCTACATTGTGTATATGTATGTGAGTGAGTCAGGGACCGGTTGCATAAAGACTAATTCAAATTTAAGTCTAATTTTAAGCCTGACTTCAAATGACTTCATCAAATGACAAACCAAAGACTTGTGACACTGACTTGTGTTCAATAGCTAACTAAAGCTAAAGCTATCTTTCAAGTGTTGCTATAGCGACAAGTAGGTCTATGCAGGAGTCTTCATCAGACTAAAGGAATTTAAGACCAGCATAGACGAGTCTTAATCTAGTCTTAATCTACATTTATGTAACTGGCCCCTGGCTATGTCAGCGTGAGCTTGTTGCTCCGTGTTGAGTCACGGGGAAGAAAAAGGCTGCAGGAAGATGGTGACTGGTGGCCAAGGCTTCGTTGACACAAGAGCTAACACAGGAAATCAGTTGCTTGGCTTAATGAAAACCAGATCATGCAAAAAAAAAAAAAAAAAAAAAGGAACAAGAACTTTTGAGCGCTCAGCACAGCCTGGAGCAACGTCACGTTCACAACAGTGAGGAGTGCTGTACAGGAGCCTGCTGTGCGTGTCCCATCCCTCACACATCAACACTGCACACTAGTCAGAATTACATTAGCTCATGTCTACTTTCAAGCGTAAATCAATAGTGCTCAGCCCTTAGGCACCTAGTTACAGAATGACACTAAAAAGCAGTTTGACAACAAGTTAAAAACTCTAAAACATTAGAACATTTCAAGATATCGAGCATTTTTCGTCTTTACAGGGGCTCTACCAACAGAATAGGCCCTATGAAAGCGCAAAATCTGGCACCTTTGAATCGGTTAATCCTGGCTATTTTACATCTTTTTATCTTACATCCTTCACTTACCTCAATAAGAATAACAAAACGAGAAAAATTCAAACTATCAGTACAACTTCTGCGGGTTCAGGCACATAAAGAGTAGAAAGGAAAGAGGGATTCTGATGAGTATAAAACAGTCACATTTGGAGGAGGAGAAACATTCTCTATGTAAATGCACTGGTTGGTGATGGACGGTCATCAGGTGCTTCAACAGCTGTCCATCAGAACTTTGGACCTTTATGATTCACAGGAATGCAAACAAGCTGGAAAATATGTAGCTGCGTAGTGAATGGCACCTTCCCTGCACGTCTTAAAACTTCTCTAAAAAGGACGGCGTTAAGAGACAATAAGGCAAGGAAAGGTTTAGTTTGAAGTGACAGCGAGTACAACTTTCTCTTTCCTCCCTCAATCCTTTCTTCAATTCTCCCACTTAACGATGGCCTAATGCTCAGAGATGAGGCATAAAGCCCTATTTACTACCTGCCAAAGTTCCTTCTGCTCCACAAGACTCACAAGCTGTAAGGCAGCTGCCAAGTATGGACTATGGATTTTTTTTACTTACGTAACCTCAGCAAAGCCACAGGTGGGAAAACATGAGATGAGAGCCAGTGCAGGGAGAGTCTACAACCCTAATAAAAGTTTGTTAAATTTTTCAAATCTTAAGGCCGTCCTCATGGCGAAAACTCAATTAGATATTGACAGTATCAGTTTGACAGATGGCGATGCAATGGACAGTGACCCAACTGAAATGCAACATAATATAAATCACAGATAGTCAACAGCTTGAAGGAAGTATTAGATTCTTGTCGGCTGAATAAACTGTAAGACAGTTCAATTTCAAGCAACCTACTTTTTTGGCCTATTTAAGAAAAGCAAGAATAACAATACTGGTTTTGTACCCATGCTCTATTTGAACTACTCCCAAAATGAAGATACAATGGACATCCGGCATGTAAATGATCCCCTTTCTCAATTGTACCAATTCAGTTTAGTCTCACCCCTCTATTAAAACAACAGTAAAACAAACATCAAAAGGATACATGGCAGGGAGAAAGTACGATATAAAAAAACAAAATAATGCAGTCAAAAGTGCTCAAATAAGGAGTGTTTTCATTTTTTTCTCTTTTTTTCATCATATGAGGCAGACCTTTTTTTGTTTTTGTTTCTAACTGTGTCCTCTAGGATCAGGGTTTGGGGAGGAGGAGAGTGGGTACGTGGGAAAAGCGGCAAAGGAGGTGAAAGATCGAGGCTGACGGATGGCCCGGTCAGGTGCTGTGAAGGGTTCGGCTCAGGGTGTCGTGACGTGGTTTTCTCGACCCCGAAGCTCCTGTCAGCCGTCCTTCCTCAGATCTTCATTTCCTCCTTGGCGGCCAAGGGCGGAGCTCTAACCCAGGCTGGTGATGTTGGCCCTGCCACCTGGTGGCGCCACGATGCGCTGGGTGTTCCGGCGAGGAACGTTGTCGTCAACCTGAGCGCCTGTGAGATCAAATGGAAAGTTGGTTAATCAACATTGTGTTTATACTCTGCAAAAATACAACGTACAACGTTTTTTTGGGGGTCATTTATTATTAGTAGGCTATTAGTCAAAGCAATACATTATAAGAGGGTTGAATGTAATGAGTACAAAAAAATTCCAATGTATTTGTAATGATTATAAAAGAAACAAGGTAACCTCCCTCCAAAATATGACATGATGCACTTAATGAATATTTACGCAAACAGAATTTATACTTTATCAGATTTTAAAAAAAAAACACATTTAAAGATTTTTTTCAATGTCAGGTTACTTTCGAATTTCTGTATTTCAGTTGTATTGTAGGACTACAAACACCATTTTCAATCATCAGTTCCTACTGAAATTGTAAAAAAAAAAATGAAACCCACAGCCAATGTGGTCATAAAATTGTAATAACAGATTAGCTCATTAGCAGTAGTGTGAGCTCAGCTAACCCCTGGTCAAGTGACGTTCATGGATTCTGCATGAGGAATCAGTCTTGCTGTCAATTTTTTCCCAGTGGCCAAGTACTGCAATAAAAACATTCTATAAAATAATCCACTCCACCATATTTTCCACATGGACCGCACTTACAAAACAAATGTCCAGGACTTTGGAAAGCACTGACAAGCACCAATCAGGTGGAACCAGGAAAAGAAACACTAACATGTGCAGTGGGCTGCACAATTTTGGAGCAAATCAGGAGTAAGAACTTTTATTAGAATAAGTGGGTGGCATCCCCGGTATCCAGTAGTCCAGCGTTCAGGTTAAAACTGTTTGCAAAGGCTAAACATATGAATTCACGTGTCAACGTTCACCTAAGCTGAACTCTGCATGGATATCACGTTACTATGCCGTGAGATAATCTATTTGTTTGCAGTGACTCTGTTCAAATGGATTGAATTTGGTGCAAAATTTCACTCATAAATTCTGATGTGGCCGTGCCCTTTGACACATCTCATGAATGCTGCTCTTTATGTATCTGCGTGCAGTTTGAAGATAAGCTGAATGGTGACCTTAGCATACCTTGGCTCATTTGATCGATGTTTATGGCATCAAGAAGCAGCGCACACCTTCTCCAATGCTGAATATTTCATGCTATGTACTTGTAAGACTAGAATTTTATAACATTTAATAAAATAATAAAATATTTACTCTATTTTTGAGAGGAAAAGGTGTAAAATTAAAAGCTCACTGTTCAGTTAAAAGTTCACACTGCATGCAGAGAAATGAATAGGCCTGTTTGTCTGAGTTTGTTTGATTCTGGGTATGGAGGGAAAAAGTTAAATCCCCCTCCCAACATTGAACCATTCTTTTAATGTGTCATCACAATTAAGTAATACAAGAGTAATGAAAAAAGGAACAATGATTAAGGACTAACCAGATAGGCTGAATCCAGACTGATGCAGGTTACGGACGGGCTGGTTGGGCTGCTTGGCAGGTGAGGTCTTGGCAGAGGAAGCAGGAGTCATGGTTTTAGGTGTGACTGACACCTCGCAGACCGGACCATCATACAGTCCTCTGGGTACACCTCTCAGCTCAGCCAGCTACATTTTCAGGAAAAAAGCACGACAGTCATGGTTCAGTGAAAACAAACGGGGAAATATTCCATCCCCTAAGAGGGATGCAGGCACATTTTGGGCTAATCTGTAACAAGCTGCATCCTCCCTCCAGCTTTCCACAAAAGAATTATCAGCCATTATAAAAAATTGCTGGGTGTGTGAAGCAATCTTTATGTTTGACTGACTCTATGCCTGCCCCTTCCTCCAACAACAACCACAGCCTCACTAGACAGGGTTTGAAAAGCAGTATTGTACCCTGCTGCGTGCTTTTATCCTCTTGTAGACGTAGTCAGGGAAAGGTTTTCGGGCCACGTAGCGTCCCGAGCCCTCGGTGGTGTGGAGGTTTCCTTCCTCCAAGACGATCTTGCCCTGGCTGATCACCACCAGAGGCCCGCCGCGCACCTCCGTGCCTTCAAAGATGTTGTACTCCACAGTCTGTAGAGGACAGAAATGGTATGAAAAGTAAATGGAAAAAGAAGGTACTTTTTTTTTTACACCCCACGTTACGTGTGGTGTGGACACATGGACGCCAAACATACACAGTCCTAATACAAAAACCAGCACATTGTGACTTATTATTCATCATTTCATAGCAAAAAAGGTGAGTAAATTCAGTTTACATGGGTTACTGAGGTACACATAAGATCAGGTCACATGATACATGAGAGGCATCTTAGATTTAATCATAATGCTCAGATTTCTGTTTTTTGTTTATATAAGCATTGGATTCATGGGACTGACTAAAACCCCTTTCACACACTGGTGAGATCAATTATCTAAGTAAGTCATAGTTTTGAGTTCAAACAAAGTTCATGTACGGTAAATTCCATGTACCTCTCCTGATAAACATTGTATAGTCACCGTGGGTGGCAGCACTGCAGGATAACGGTAAGTAGTGAGTTGGAAAAGGAGTACAGCACAATATAGGACTGTTCTGAGTTCTCAAACAGACTGCTTAAATTATAGATTTCGTCACAACACGCCAAGAATGTTCTCATTCTACCTTATCAGTCCCAGGGGGGTGCCAGCATCCCGCCCGCTGTTTCTGTGAGGTTTATTTTACCGACCTACCAGTCAGCATATGAGTAGCTCTGCTTCTTACAAGAAAAATAAGCACTTGTGCTTATTATGTGTCATTATGGATGTCCATGCTTTGCCTTTGTTAACTATTCTAGGTCCTACTTGAAGGCTGTTGTAACCCATAATAGCTGCCAGTTCCATCAACTTATTGCTCTGTAATGAGCTATTATAGTTGACACCCGCAACATTTCAATAACATTTTAAAGTTTGTATTTTTTAGGTGAATCTGAAGTCTACACATCTGCAGTCTATCATTAACCATGAATGGGATTATTCACATCAAATGTTCGATCATTTTCAAATAGCCTGAGTTATCCTGAAAAAGTAACGTGTAATACATCCATAGTTGATGCTGATGAGAGACTTTGATAATCAGATAAATGAAAGCAGCACCAAAACACAGTTTTGTATCAGAATTTAAGTTATATACATAAAAAATGTTGCACTCTTGGGAGATTTTGAAACATTATGCAACTAAATGGTACTGTAGTTATGACCTGTGTTAAAGATCAAAAAGTATGGTGATTTTCAGTTGGAGGTTTTAGACCCGAGGTTGAAGTTCTTGTCTGACTGCTGTCAGCTGTATTCCTGTGATGTTTTATTACAGCTGCTTGTATCTCCTAATACAAATACAGATACATTAAATCATCACAGGAATACCTTCAAAGCGGAGATGTTGTAATTCAACCTCTCCAGCTGATTTCCCCCTATCATTAGGATGATGTAACCTCCCTGTAGCACATGCTGTGTCTGGGAATGTTGCAGCTTTATGTTGCAGATTTATGAAAATCTCACTCATTCTTTATCTGAAAAATTGCCAGAGTGATGTTGATGGACCAGTTTGTGTTCACACATGATGCCACCATGTAAAATTGGCAGAATGTTTATGGATTAAAGTGCACTTGTGAAAGGAGCTTAACTGATTTAGTTTAAAGCGTTCCTGCTGGCTTCTAATACTAATAAAGACAGCAAAGCTAATCGTTGGGGGAAAACCAACCAATATGGCACAGAGGCCTTAGTTCTCAGGCCAGAAGAAGGAGCAGAAGCGGGGGTCATGTGGGTGGAGCGGGTGTTAGGGTGTGCGTGTGTGGAGAAGGAGGGTAGGGAGGTTGCTGTGTGACGAATTTGGAAGCTGGATGACTGCTCTCTCCTAAAAGCTACTGGAGCTGAGGTCATGGCAATCTGGTGGACTGAAATGAGATCACCAGTAGGTTGGGTTATCCTGTGACCCCCCCCCCCCCCCCCNNACACACACACACACACTCCAAATGAGCAGTTTCTCCCATGAACGTAAGTCAGTCATTTTCTGACTAAGCGGAATAAAAGGAAACCAAAGAACATGACGGGTTTAAGCGAACAGATTCCAAGATCATACACTGTCTTTCTTTCACACACATACACACACACACACACACAGATCCACAGTGATCTGCCTGCTAACAATCAGAAACGATGTGTTCCAGTTCTCTGGCAGATTTTAAGGATGACATCACTCCCCTGACACTGTGTGAGGCCCACACCCTGTTCAACAGTCACGGCCATACAGCAAAAAGTGGACTAATAAACCAGTTGTATGCTGTTAATCATTGTTGCATAGTAGGTGTGTTTTTGTATGAATCTAAGATGTAAGATGTGTAGAATCACTAGTGCGCTTGATATTTTTAATATATAATAATATATTTTTAAGAAAATGAAAAACACTTAGGTTAACATGGAAGCCACAAAGGTAAAATTACTATGTGGACACCCTTGCTCACATACTTTTGTACTTCTACTTCTGTACCTTGTGGTCCAGGGCTGTTATTCATGGTTTGGGTCCGTTGGTTTAAATAAAGTGAAATCATAATGCTGCACACACAATAATGTGATGTTTGTCCTGTTTTAATATGACATTGCCCTGTGCACGAAGCCATAAAGTAATGTTTGTTTGTAATTGAGGTTTTATTTCCTTAAAACAAGTAAAACATGTGTGCCAGTGCAGTATTTTTTCTACCCATTTCTAATGTAAATCCACTTGAAATTCTACAAAATCATATGCATTTTTTTGTTGAGTTTTTTCAACAATCAGCCTATTTTATTTACCTCTTTCAAGTCTTTTTTTTTTTTAGAAATGTTATAGATGGACATTTTATTCTTAATCATTATTTGCTCAACCTTGTTTTCTCATTCAAATCCTGTTTTGTGAAGCACTTTGAGCTGCATCTCTGAAGCAATGTTGCTAAATAAATTAGTATTATTTTCATTTCAGCTACTCAAGCTTTTACCGTCTGCATTTACAACACTAGTAACCTGAATTTTAAATTTTAAAGCCACTATGTCGTCGGCCCCCTGGTGGTATCAAGAAGACATTGTGGCAGACGGCAATCACATAAAAAATATACACACAGTAGCTTCAACATTTGATGCTAAGTGGCCTCAGTCTCAGTGTGTAAAGTTCGTACCGAGTTGTGGCTCTTGGCAGAGATAATCTTCGTGAAGTCTGGGTCCCACAGCACCAGGTCAGCGTCAGAACCCACGGCGATACGACCCTTACGCGGGTACAGGTTGTAGATCTTGGCGGCGTTGGTGCTGGTCACTGCCACAAACTGGTTTTCGTCCATCTTACCCGTCACCTGCAACAAATCAGAGCTGAGAGTGAGAATAGTACAGGGGTCGCTGTTTTACTTTTATTTGGTCCCGCCTGTCCTGATCTTCTCTGTGCCATCCCTTACCTTGCATGGATATTCCATCATTCTTGCTCAGTGAGGACTATTTGGAGGATTTTATCCATATTTCCCACCCCTATCTCATAGAAATATACATACCACACACTTGTCCCAGATGATAGACATCCTCTCCTCAGTGCCATTGACACCTTCAGGAATCAAGCTGAAGTCGTCTTTGCCTACGGCACGCTGGGCAGTGTTGAAGGGACAGTGGGCACTTCCTGTCACCTGCAGGTCACCACTACACAGAAGGTCAAGGAGAGAAGGGACATTGTGTTAATGGTACAGAAAATGATGTTTGTCCAATATTTTCATTCTATTATTTCCCACTGTATGCCCAGTTGGAATGATTGGATCATCCTCTCACCAGGACAGCAGGGAGTTGAGATAGTCTGGTGTGGTCGGGTCGGGGCTCAGGGGAGGTGAGGTGACGTAGGCAGCAGCTTTGGCCCAGTTCTTGCTCCAATAGTGAGAACCGTCTGTTCCCAGGCTTGCAGTGATTGGCTCTCCGTAGACCACAGTGCCTGAAAGTCCAATTCCATTATAAGACCAGATACTACGCTCCAGGAGTATCTGGTCTCTCTTTGTTTCATGCATGTCATGTGGACTCTTGCAATGGAACTGAGTATGTAGTAAGTAAGTGTTTTTCTAGTCCAAAACCTAAATATAATTGTGCAAAGTAAGTATGTATGTTGATGTTAGTGGAGTGGCCTAAGCTTTTGTTTTAGATTTTATCTCTGTGGTTTATAGTTCTGGAAAAGAAACATGGCGACAAACTGTGCTAGAGATGTCGATTTAATTATTGCAAGATAAAATGATTATTTAGAGTCTCACCCTTCTTCCTGGCCTGAGCAATGACATCAGCAGCACTCTTGCTCATCACCTTGGTGACATAGAGAGGGCAGTTGGTCTGATTGGCCACCGTCACAGAGCGGTTTACAGCCTCCGCCTCCACCTGGAGAAGAGAGAAGTTTTCACTGGTGACCAATTAAGGGACAACTGAAAGTGGAGGAATAACATTTGTTTGACCCTCTTTCTTCTTCCACAATGAGAACCCCTACTTCATTCTTTTCTTACTATATAATTTTCCTACCAATATTACCTTTCTGCTCGCTCAGTCCTGTGTAATAAATCCTTGTTTCCAAATATCACATGATCATACCAAGAGTTAAAACTTTGGGGAGGGGCTTTATATAAATCATAACTACAACTAATTATAGGCAAACATAGTAAAAAAAGGAAAGTGAGTTGAGAATTAGACACACACAACAAATCAAATCAATATATATATTATACTACTATATATATATATATATATATATATATATATTATATATATATATATATATATATATAGTATATATATATATATATATATATATTTTCTTTATTTATTTTATTCTATAATCCTAACAGAGAAGGTTTACACTGAGGAATAGTAACTCATTTTGGGCAGTGTGCATGTATAGAAAAGAGAGAAAATTGATACCACTCTCATTTGTACAGTTAGCTTAGCTTAGCATACAGACTGGAAACCCTTCATTTTTGGTACATAAAGACATAAAGTGTCAGCGATTGAGCTTTAATGGTGCTGGTAGGTGTATTTTGTTACCTTTAGACAGAACCACGCTAGCTGTTTCCCCATGATTCCAGTCTTTATGCTAAGCTAAGCTAACTCGCAGTTTTCAGTGTACAGTGTACAGATATATACATGTATATAAATATGTATATATGAGTTACATTGATCTTCTCATCTAACACTCAGCAAGACATCGGAAGAGCATATTTCCCAAAACGTCCTTGAAGTGTGTTGATGCTTTATTTTCCGTAAAATGTGTTTTCAATCCATGGCAACAAAAATAAGGTAAACCACTTAAAAGAGCCTTGGCAACTTTTTTTGAAAAATGAGATGGCAGGATTGTGACTTTTCAATGACAAACACTAACAACATGTTCCAAGAACAGAGAACACAGTGGATTCTTCATCTTGTCTGTAATTCCTTTTGGATCAAACTTCCTTTTTTCTGCTTTTTGCTTTTGGCATTTTTTTCTCTTGAGGTTTTTAGCAGCAATTCTCCAAATCACAAAAAATAACAGTCAAGATTTGATTATAACCTGAGCAGGAACGGCAGCGCCATGGCAACTTCCCACAGAAACTCTGAGAAACCCTTCAGTTTTTTCCTTTACCTTAGGGCAATCACATACGCAGTAATAACCACAGAGACAGGGGGTTACATCCCACCCGTATCTGTGGAGTGGAAATCTGTTCCCACCAATATTTGTAATAAGCAGTCATCAAACGCCTCCAAAAGCTAAAAGAAAGCTAATCTTCTCCCCTCAATGTTCAGTGTTGAACTGACTCCAAAACACACTGGACACACACACACACAGGTTTACATCTCAATCAGCAGTGAACAGCTGTGCAGCCTACTCATAGGTCTTCTACACAGGTAAAGTGATCCATTGAAATTGCAGCATCATGAACACAACATGCTGCATGGAAACCAGCGTGTTACTGCTGACGCTGATGAGCACATCTGCTCGGGTGTTTGTCAGTTTAACAGGCTGGAAGGTGATCTTAAAGTAAACTGGGTCTGTAGTTGATTTACCACTAAACTGTGTCACTATGAACCAAGTTATCTCTGTGCTGTTGGTCAAAATGAACACACACCTGTGGGTGGCAATTTTTTACAAAACTTGCTCATACACACTGTGTGTCAGGTGTGTGGGCATGTGGATACTAATAGGAACTAGTACAGATTTTTTATTTATTTTTTTATTTTGAGGGTTCCACCTATTACCCCAACCTAGTTGCCCCCACAATATCTGACTGAAGATTGCAGCCTTGCCTTAAGAATAATAAGTAAAAGCTGAAGTAGAAAAACAGAAGTTTTAGCAATAAACACAGCTGCCATTAGTCATACTTCAAATGTCATTCTCTACTTTGTTGCCACATCTGGATGTTCATGAGTAACAATGAATAAGGATGTGCTCTTATCTGACTCTGTGGATCCCAACAGGAAAACTCAAATAAACATATGAAGGTGAGACTGAAGATGATATCTGAGTATTTGCCAAGGCAGTGAGACACCCACGGTTTCACTGTAAAACTGTCAAACAGCGTAACACCAACAGCTGTGGAGGCTGAATCATCTCAGCGTGACAAAAATTCCTGCAAATACAACTCGGAGATAAAGTGATTCCACACTTCCCAAAGTCAAACCAGCTTTTAACCAGAAATCCCGACAGGCCAATCAATGTCCACACTGCAGAAAGTCTGGCTTACCTCCTCAGGACGGCTCAACACATGTCCTTCAGGCCCAGTGATCCCCTGCTCCAGGATCCTGCGCTGCTCCTAAACACACACAATTAAGGACACACACATGAACACACACACACACACACCACAGAAATGTGAGATGTTGAAACATGTGCAGGTGGACACATGTTTGCCTTGAAACACTCAAAGGCTTTATTTTCCATTTGAGTCTAATTTTAAGGCCAGTGTCCAGCAGAAAATCGTGTACATCCAGGTCCAGATCCCGGCTCGTACGGAGTGAAATGTCGTACCTCAGCTACAATGTCTCCATTCTCAGCGTGCACCTGGGCAATGGCTCCCAGATCACGGATCACGCTGAACACCTCGTACACCTGCAGCAAAGAGGAAGACGTAGTTAGGATCTCTGATGCACTCTTTCTTTCAACACAAATCTTGCTCTGTTGTATGTCCACAACACAGTATTTCTGGTTTCTGAAATGGATCCGTGATGTACAAGTCAATTTCTTCAGGAGTGCTTGTAGTCAGTGGGTTATCTGAATGAATGTGACTAGTTAGGCAAAAAAAGCCTATATTTAATCTATCTAACAGATAGACAACAGAATATGGTCCTTGGCTGTTTTATGAGAAAGCATGTATGGTAGGGATGGGTCGATAAATATAATATAGCGGCATCTGTCAATAAAAAACGGACGGGGTAATCACAAATATCCTCACAAGTGACTTGAAAAAGCTCTCTAGCCCGCTAACGTACAGTTCAATATGATTTCCTGATTCACTTCTGAATTGTCACAAGGAGGAGCCTCCATCTGTCCAGTCATTTATTTCAAAATCCTAAGACTGTCAAAATGGCTGAAGGCTCCATAAACCCATTGTATGCCCCACAAAAGAAAAAAGTTAAACCAGATGTGTGGAAATACTATGGATTCCAGACTTAAGAATGACGGAGATATGGTGCCTATCTGAGGTGTCCCATCTGTGATCCAATAAACAAAATGTAAGGTAAAGTGATTCCACTAGTGCTTTTTTATAAGTTTTAAATATATTTTGATGATTATTGGGATAATACTGTGAATCACTGTGATCTTGGGCAGGATAATGGTCACATGAAAATTTCATATCATTCCATGCCAAACATATGGTGTGTGGCTTAACATGGTGGCTTTAAAAGAGTATTTTTTTATCTTAAATATGTCTTCCTTTGGTGATATACTTTCAGTTTAATTCAATTCAATTCAA